GAGGACAAGCTGGAACCTGCAGGACAGACCGACAGCTGCGCTGGTCCAAGTTCAATATGTGGACCATATTCACCAGGCGAACCCGCCCTGAGGGGCTGCGGCCCAGCCCTTGCCCACCAGGGCAGATGAGCCACAGCAGGCTGGGTGCCTGATGCCTGCGCTCACCTGCCAGTCTCAGACAGACCCCGGTGCTGCTCCTCTTGCACCCGCCAGATCCACATGAACCGTCCCTTCTGGCCCACGCTCACCTGGAAATGTGAAAGTTAAGGTTATTAGAAGAACAACGGGCTGTGTAACAGGGAACAAGTAAATGAAAGACAAACCAACCTAACAACAGAGACAGACAGGAAGACACGGGGGAGGAGCCTGCTGGAGCAGGGGACAGAGCAGGCTGAAAAGAGAGAGAAGAGGCCCAGAAGAGGCAGCAGAGGGAGGCAGGGGTGAGTGGGGAGGGCAGGAGGGCAGGAGGCAGGGCCTCTCCTGGGGCCACTGGGGGACCGTCGAGGGAGGGGCTGGCAAAGGAGAAGGCAGGTGGAGCCCCGTTGGCCTCGGCGCCCACAGTTGTGCCCAGCACAGGGCCTGGCGCTTGAGGGGCTCAGGACAGGGAGGGTTTCCCTGCCTTGCCCAGGGCCTCAGCCTCCGTCAGGGTCATACCTGGGACACCAGCTACTGTGAGGGCTCAGGCCACGACTGCACCCCACCGAGCCTGGCCTCACCATGGTCGGTGTCTGGGGTGACAGCTGGGGCTGGAGCTTTTGCAGGAGGGAGCGTGCAGTTTACGGTGTCCAGCCTGTGCCTGGCCCTGTGCACCATCCGCACACTGTGCCATCGCCTGTGCCCTGCAGCGACACCTAGTGGAGTGGAGCAGAGGAATCCTGGGCACACAGCACACTCGTGCACGTGAGTGCTTGCACATGGACACACACACACACACACACACACACCTGGCTTCAATGACTCCCTGTGAGCAGAGGGCTGGGATGTGGCCCCAGGGTGCATTTGAGTCACCTCATCTCCGAGTGCTCGGTGGAGGAACGTAGGACAGCAGTTAATCCACAACACAGCGCCAAATCTGGGAGTCCGCTGCCTTCCCACCCCAAACAGGGAGGCCAGGAGGTGGGCTGGGATTATGCAGGGAGTGGTGTCATCCATTTCCTGGTGACCCCAAAGTCCTCCCCCTCCTCTCTCTGGGGGAAATCCAGCCCCCGCACCTGCACCACACCTGATGCCTCCCCACAGACACCCCATCCAGGCAAATGCCTGCCTCCCTGCACCAGCCCATGCCCACCCCGGCTCGGCTTCCCACTTGCGAGGCTCCAAGACTCACCCAGAACAGGGAGTACAGGCTGAGGATCCTGCTGTCCCCACCATGCCGGTCAGTCCTTGCTCTGGTGGGGCCCTCCTGGCTCAGAAGGCCCCTCCCCCTGGTCCAGAGAACTTCCTGGTGAAGGAACAGCCACAGCTGCCCCGTGCTCCAGCTCTGGGGAAATTTGACCCTTTACCTGCCTGCCCCAGCAGTCCATGACTCCCTGTCTCAGGTGGCTCCTAACCTCAGCTGGGCTATTTGCTCTTCTAAAGGTCAGTTCCCACATCATCCTCCCCCTAAGCGTACAGAGATTCAGGTGAGACCTCAGGCTAACTGGCTGCCCTTCACTTGATCCTGGTCCTAGTCCTACCCCCTCCCTGGTACAGCCAGCCTTGCTGTCTACTTCCTGATCACTGTCCTAAGGGGCACTTCCCTGTCTTGGCTCCTCACCTGTCTCAGGTGGGCTGGACTCTGGGAGGCACACTCTGCCCACTGGGCTGTCCTCCCGCACCCACTCCCATACTGCCCTACCTGAACCAGCAGCCTCCTCCTGTCCATACTGGCTAAACTGCCAGACTCCCAGCCCTGGGCTTGCCCAGGGGCCAGGGACTCCCACGGGGCTGGGGGGCCACAGCGGGGCCGGCACCATCACCTCGCAGTATACCAAGCTCAAGGTGCAGCCCATGTGGCCTGGTGCCCTGCGGGCAGAGGCGTGAGCCTTGGGAGGCAGCCGTCCTCCAGCCCTGGGGACTATTCTTCCCAGGACCCCTGTGATGTCAGGAGGTGGTGGTGACACCCCAGCCTGGCTCTGCTAGGAGTACTCTCCTCTACTGCCGCCACCAGGAGCAAGGCAGTGAGGGGCCTGGAGAGGGGCGGCGACATGAGCCTGGTCAAAGCCAGAGATGAGGGAGACCAGAGGGTGCAGGGCACGGGCAGAGGGAGGAGGGGCTGGGGACTGGGCCGGGAGGTTGAATTGGGAGGGGCGTAGAGACCAAGGGCACCACAGGAGGGGCAGGGAGCAGATAAGGGGAGAGAAAGAGGGAGACCCAAGAGGAGGAAACAGAGACAAGGGGGACAGACAAGAGACAGAGCCTCTGATCCGGGGAGACAGGCAGAGGGCAGGGCAGAGGGCACACAGTCGTGGGCATCACTTGTGCCCGTGTTTACATGTGGTCGCTGGGATTTCTGAAAACAGCAGTCCTCCCAGGTCCCTGCCCCTCACCTCTCTGTCCCCAGAACTAGCGCCAAGGCAGCCCCACCTAGAGAAACCAGGACCAGGGAGGAAAGACCCCAGCACCAAGGAGGCAGACACAGCCAGGGTGGGAGGCCCCTGCCCCCCTGGGCAACCCTGCTGGCCCCTCGCAGGACACAGCGTCTCACAGCTGGTTTCACTTCCATCCTGTGGGAATGGGACCCAGGACTGGGATGTTGGGACTGCTGACCAGCTCTCACGGGGACCCCTCAGCAGACTGAGGTGAAGTGGGAGGCAGGCACATGGTGAGACCCTCCTCCTCTCCCCTCCTGCGCCACACTCTAACCAAGCAACAGAAGAGACAAGCCCTGCAGTACCAGGTGGGCAGCACCGCAGCCTCCTTCTGCCACCTGCTGGCCATGAGGAAGAAGCACAGGCGAGGGATGAAAATGGGGAAGGAAAGGAGCAGCAGCAACTGCAGCTGCCACCAGGGATGAGTCTGTGCTGTTCCACAAATAAGTGACCTGACCCCAGGTCCCCCTGAGGAGATCTGTCCCCCATCTCACCATTCTCCCCAGTGCCCTGCATCCTACCTCTGCCACTTCTGGACAGCAGCTTCTGCTCCTCCCCCTCTGAGCCAAGCTCCCCCTCCAGGGGCTGGGCTGGGCCTGAGCCACTTCCCAGACAGCAAACCCTGGGAAATGCTCTGCAGGGTGACAGTCACCAGGGACAGGCTCAGACTGCACAGCCCCGCTCTCC